GGAGGGGGTTTCATGGGAGGTCCCATGAACCGCGGGGGATCGCGAGGATGGTCCTGGGTGCTGTGGGGGGAAGGGGAGGGGTTGGTGTTAGGGGCAGTGGGAGGCCGCCGGTTGGTGGAGTTTCCGGTTTCTCTAGACGCATGGCTTGAACTGGGAGCAGAGAGCAGTCGCAATACGACATGGAGACCGAACTGGGGTTCGATGGTGCTGTGGCTGGATTGTTGTCCAGGAAGATTACTTGAAAACAGCCGCAGCAGCTGCGTGGTGCGGGCTGTATCTTCGCCAGCCTGTACTAGGCAACCCCGTTGCCGGCGCGTTGGGATCGAGGAGATGTTACCGTGCTGCGTCCGTTTGGCCTAACTTCTCCAGGGGCGCAGCGCGCAGACGCTTCGTGCGAAGCGCACGGGTGCCGATGCGACGCCGCCGCCGTGGGTGCGCGGGCGCGGGGTTACAGTACCTACAGCGCGCTGTGCCAGCGATTCTCAACCTTGGCGGCGGTCACGCGGCGCTGAGCCACTCCAGGCCGCGGCCGCCCCCCCGGCGGCCTGCGAAAACTTTCCTTGTTTGCTGATTCCAAATCAGACGTCCTACTGGGAGATCTCCTTCGGAACCCTTCCGAGACCGACAGGGGAGCCTAGGACGTTGACACGACTTTTAGGTAGGAGAGGGAAACTAGTTTCCTCGTGTGTGTGAGCGGGGAGTGGGGACAGGGGTCACTTTGGGTAGAGGGTAGAGGTCACCTACAGTCACCTACAGTCACCTACTCCCCCGAGGAGTCTGCCCTCTCCCCTGACCGGGAGGGACCATTGCTGGGCGAGGTGGGTGGGGAGAGTGCGGTGGTGGTGTGCGACCGAGACAGCGCCAACCGTGCAAAAACACACTGCCAGCGGCGCCATCGGCCGTCGCGTCCAGGCGCGGGGGCTCTCAGTCCGCTCAGTCGCAAACCTGCCACCGCCGCACCGACACCTCTGCACACACGCTCGGACCTTACTCAGGAACTCGTCGGACACAGCCAGGTGAGGACGCTCTCCGCCCTTCGAGTTGCACCCCCGCCCCGCCCGCATCGCCCACCGCGCCGGCCGAACGCCTGCCGGCCCTGCGGGCGAGCCCGTTGCGCACGCCTGCATCGCGGGTTGGGCGGTGGCCTACCAGTCACGGAGCTACCACCCCTCAGCCGCCGGGTCGTTATTTCAACTCGACTCTCTTGACTCCCTCTGCAGGCCATGAACTCCGTCTCCGCCCCCGCCCTGCTGCTGCTGGTGGTGGTGGCGCTGGCCACCGTCCACGCCGCCCCCAGGGATGGCCCCGCCAGCACCGAGTGCCCGGCGGGCATCAAGGCGGCCAAGGCCGGGCCGGCCGCCCAGGGCGTTAAGTACACCACCAAGTACGACAACATCAACGTGGACATGGTGCTGCACAACGAGCGCCTGCTCAACAACTACATGGAATGCCTGATGGATCGCAGGGCCTGCTCCAAGGAAGGCCAGCTCCTCAAGGGTGAGTATTCTCCAGCCAGGAGTGCGGTGTTAGGTCTGGGTGAAGTAGGGGGGGGGAAGCCTACTTACAGGCATTTTGAACGGCGATTTGTGGAAAGGGCTCCTTAGCACCCCCCGTCACATCGTGCCTGTCTCTACCGCGACTATCTTTGGTTCCCTCCTGTTGCCTTGTCTCTTCAACACCCGTGCATTTACGCCGAGCTGCATCCTTACATTGTCGACATTATTTCGCGGCACTCCCCCCTGCGGCGCGTCTTGCTCCCGGCTCGTCTCTGAATCCGGTTCTGTGGATGGCCCGGCGCGCGACGTTGACCTTCGCGGCTTCCTTGTTGTCATCCTTTGCGACGGGCTTTTACGCGCGACCAGAGCTCAAGTGTTTTTGAGTTTCAAACTGAACTTTACGCGGACTAAGCCTTACTCAACTCTTAAATTTGAAAGAACATTCTCGGTGGAATAAAGTAAAGATTTGGGAAAACTCAAATTCAAATCGACGGTGTCTTTCAACATTGTGTTTTTGGCAGTTCAGCTCGGCACGCCAAGCCGTTGTTGCCAGCCACTTTTAATTCCTTTATTTCGCCTGCCAAACGCCCGGGCACGTGCGCGGGGTGGGGGCCTCCAGCCGAGTCTAGCGTCGACTTGAGAGGAACATGCCCGCGACACTTCTAGAATCGTAAAGAACATGATCTATAGATTTATGCCTGACTTGGGCGGGCATGCTCTTCGACATGGGCTTAAAAGAGTTGTGAATGGGTGTTCTGCTCTTCACAGATCGACCCTAAGTTCAGGTTAAGATTTTGGCTTCAGTGCTGAGCGAATATTTTTACGAATGTCAATAAAAGACATCACAAGTTTTGCTACAGGCTGGCCCACGGCCTCCTGTCATGTTTTGTAGCTTTACTGTACCGCATGCAGATGCACACATGCGAGCGGGTTGCCTATACCTACCGGCGTCATGGCCAGCGACTGTGGGCAATATCTCCTACACTTGCTGTACAGTGTAGCTACACAGTAGAAAAGGATTCGTGGGCCACCCTACATATGCACTAATCTAAGCTCCTCGTTCGCGCAGAGATCATCCCGGACGCCCTGCAGACGGACTGCGCGCGGTGCTCAGAGAAGCAGAAGCAGATCGCCGGCACCATCATGTCCTACCTGCTGCAGTACAAGAAGAAGTACTGGGACGAGCTTCTTTGCAAGTACGACCCAGAGGGGAACTTCCGGAAGAAGTACGAGGTAGACGAGGATGACGAAGATGACGAAGAATAGAACTAGACAACTTGGAAGTTTTTTTTTTTATTTTTTTTACAAGTTCTGCTCAATTTTTGGACTTTGATTTTTGTGTGTGAGTTATTCGCGCTACTCTCCCTTGTCGCTTTGGCACCAACGCAGAGGACGGTCTGAAAAAGCGCCTGTGATAGCCTCATCGTTTGCATTAAGTACAACTTTTTTTCGATTTGTGATTGTAAGATATGTATCATAATAAAACAAGTAATGTAGGTAAGCAAAACGACACTGTTGACTATGTCTGTCTTGTTCTAACAACACTAACATCTGAACCACCGCGTCGCAGACTTGCAGGTAAGGTGTTGGGCAGGAAATTTGAAGAATATCTGCAGGTGCTAGGGTTGGGAATTTGAACGCACCAAAGTATTCGTCTTTCCAGTCCCACACCTTAAAATTCTCCGAACCTCCATGCAAACCACACCTGCATGAATACGACACTTGGTGTACTTGCCGTTCTGAACACTTTGGATGTCAGTGAACGGCGCACTAGGGACTGTTGCCCGGTGTCGAGTTGTGGGGGCCGCCTGCGCATCCCGTACTCACGACACACGTGGTGGATGTGTGGCCTGCCTTCCAGGCGGGCGGGAGGCAAACGAGTGCGGCCACGTCCGATGGGTTGCCCACTCGGCAGGCGTTCTTGTGGCTC